CCGCTCTCAATGTTTACGACATCGCTGGCAGCGCGCATGCGCGAGTGATTCAGCGTTGAAAGTCATCAAAACCTTTTGGCAGGCTGTGATGAGGACGTCTCGACGTTTGAGGATCTGGCGGACGCGCCAACGTCGGGCGCCAAGCCCAAGAGAATGACGGACCTCCTGCACCGACCGCTCCTGACGGTAGATTACCACCCAGTGCTGAAGAGTCAGAAACGGACTTAGAAGCACAGATCACAGATGCGTGGTATGTAGGCTTCCACGAGGAAGTGGAGTTATTCGAGACCCCCTCAAGGGAGCCCCTGTGTCCGGTACCCACCGAGATGGTTACCGACAACGACGCACTCGTGGCTGTGACCAGTGAAGAGCAAGGACATTTGCGATGAGTAGGATTTGCTTGGAATCACGATACCCACCAAACCTGCCTGGTATTGTGGACAGCTGAATGCGGCGCGACATGCGATCCCGACTCGCACAACCACGGCGGGTATGTCCGGCTATGGGTAATGGTTGACATGGCCAAGGTCGTTCATGTAGAGCAGCAGTGCGAGCCGCTGCACAGCGACCAAGTAACCGCAATGCGCGCGTGTGTCTCGGCCGCCAGCAAAAAAAACTGCAGTAGTCATGGAAGACGACCTCCTGGCGAAGGCAGAATTACAAGCCGACCCGACAAAGATATCGGAGGGAAGTATGGCATGATAACCAACGCGCCAATATGCAGGACATCAAGAACGCTACCACTATTCTGACCTCTAGATATGTGCACAAGTGAAAGGTTTGTCAGGAACGACAAAAGCGAAATGGAGCGAGCAGTGCGACTACGCCTTGTGCGTTGTGTCTTTATGGGGCGTCGAGGCATTCGACGTAGAAGCCTCCCCGGGCGCAGCTCGACGAGCAAGCCAGAGACTGCTCGCCAGGGCGGCCACGCGCAAGAAACAGTTGATGATCGCATCCATGGACATCGACAAGGCTCTCGTGGAGGGTCTGACTTACCGTGAGTTGGCAGAGGCCACCAGTGAGAAAGAGCGCGTGGTATGCTGTGCCCTTCCACTTGGTTCAGCCTCGGTGCTCCTTGCGCGTCCTGGCATTTCGTCTTGCGACGAGCCCATGCACTGTCTTCAGTGCCTGAAGCCAAGCGCAGGCACCAAGGACGCCCCAAGGGCATTCCAACTGAAGTTCGGGGCCATCATACGAGGTTTCAGACTGAAGCCCACATCATATGACGAAGGATTTGAGACAAGCCCAAACCTCCTGACGGCCAAGCACGTTGACGACATTAACGCGGCAGGAGTGGAGGAAACCATTGGCAAACGTAGCAAATGCGTAGGAGGCGCTCTCGGCCGCGCCCAGCAAGATCAGGGGGCATACATCCAACAGCTTTGCCCAGTACAGCATCCAGAACTTGCGGGCGTTGCGCCATGAGAAACACGCAGCGACGACAGCGTCCGACATGTTGCGCGGCGCCTTGGAGTATGCACTGATCATCCAAATGTGGTTAGTGGTTCACGCGGTATCCTTGCAGCGCGCGCAGAGACGCGCGAACCTCCAACTGCGCTGACCTAGCGCTGCCGCGCGCAAGCTACAGCTGGGCCCGGAGAAGATACTACAATACTTGTTTGGCTCCGACAGGACAAGTTAACCTTCGTCGTGACTCTGGGTATCGCGGCCTCAGCTGGGGCGAATATGACAACGTAAAGGGATGTGGCATCCGATGTGCCAGCCTTTTACTGCGTGGACACGCGCTTAACGGTAACGCAGTGGTACATATCATTGATGCACGCTGCAAGCCGCATCGGTTGCAGGTGCGCTCCAGTGATTCAGTTGAGACATTAGCGGCCGCTCACAATCTTGAGTGAGGGTCATTATTCTACCATAGTTACACAACATGGGCCTAGAGCTGGACCCCTAACACCCACCCAATTTAATGACATTATAGAGTTAGGTGGTCTCAGGAGTAAGGCCATCCTTATCATAGACGCTACGTCGGTCTTCGAATTCTTACCAGGTGAGGATTTAAAGAGACCGACTGAATTGCCCTGTTGGGACATATCAGTTGGATAAGACATATGATGGACCGAGGTATTGCTCATGGCACGCAATGATGTGGCGCTCGACATCTGACCGCGGACGGTCATGCAAAATGACGCATCGATGCTCGCGCGCCACTGCTGCATGTGATGGAAGAACATCATCTCTTCAAATACGATGCAAAAAAGTATGTGGCTTGTGGAGGCAAGAAAGATACAGCACCAATCTAGGAACCCTATTCAGGGCCAGCGGACACTAATGAGGACGACTACCCAAACGTGAACATGTAGTTATCCTTCCCCGTGACCAGAATCGGCACCGGCATTTCCGCTCACATTCTTGGTCAGGGTCTTCGCTTCCTCTTTCCACAAACGTAGCAAATTGTCTCTTCTCTTCTGTTTTCTCTCCTCGGCTTTGAGGTCGTATCCGTCGCCGCCAAACGGGCTGGAGGCCTGGCCTTTTGGTTATTGCTCCTAGTTTTGCGACCTGGCAGTTTCCATGTCTATGTCCTTTCCAGGGCTCGAACTGAGCGGTGTTCTGGCGATTTCGTGCACCGCGTTCGCCTTGAAATCGTTTTTCAACAGAGGCGGAAGGAAGACGCAACGAGGGATTGCGAAAGCAAAGCGAAAGCAGACAACACTGTCTATGCCGAGCCGCAGTCCCCTCCGTTTTCCGTCTGCGGCAGCTTTCGTCTATTCGTTTCGTGTGTTTTTTTTTCCGGGTTTTTGGCGTCTTTGTCGCTTCTCGGCGGCTTTCCAGCCTCGGGGTGCCTTCCAGCAGCTGCGCGTCGCCAGCGGCGTCACGGTGGGGGCCCAGATCGTTCCGAGCGGCCGCGGGGGGTCCGAATTATGGCCGGAAAACCACGAGTGGCCACGTCACTGGGGCATAGGGTCGGGGGCCCGTTCTCATGTTGGTCGGTGAAGGTTGGAACAAGATTCTCCCATCCGTGACCTTGCTTTCTTGCTCTTCCTCGAACGTTTTGGCAATGCGGCGGACGGCATGCAGATGAGCAGAGGAGGAGGAGGAGGAGGAGGAGGAGGAGGAGGAGGAGGAGGAGGAGGAGGCGTAGGAGGACAAGGAGGGGTGGAGGTGAGGCTCGCGCGCACGCCACAGCGGACATCCGCGACGGCAGATACCCACCGTCAGAGGAAGACCTCACTCACGAGGGCGACGAACACGTATAACCATCATCATCAGCAGCATCAACACCAGCACGAGCATCCTCATCAGCATCCTCCTCCGCCTCCTCCTCTCCTGCCCCGCGGGCTGGAGGCCCCGAGACGGCGTGCCCCGAGGCAGCCTCTCCTCCCTCGCGCTCCTTTTTCCGCTCTCTGCGCTCGCTCGCCCTGTGCCTGCGAGAGGGCCGGTCGCGTCGGGCCCCCCTTGCGGGGGCGCTTCCACACTGATGATCGAAGCACGAGCAATTGCAAACATAAATTTTCGGAGTTCCGCGCGGATTTCTTGGATCGGCGCTGGCACTCCCTGGCGGCGCTTCCGGCGCCGCCCCTTGCGCGTTCCGCGCGCCCGGGAGGACGGTGTAGCGCGAATCCAAAAAAATCCGTCCGGACAGTCACAAGTGTATGTTTACGTATGTAGCTTGTTGGTCGTCTAGATATTTGTTCCCAGACATGTTTTTGTCGTGAACAAAATCTTGGCGAACCGTGTTTGGCCGTTGACGGCCTTTGGGGCCCTTGCGGGGCCCTGGGACACTCGAAGAACGGCTCGAGATCAAACACCAACTCTGGGGAAAGTGTTGTTACTTCGGGGGCCCCGTGTTGAAGCAATCCAGCCGTCGGATGTCTGGATTCGTTTCACTCAACCGCCAGATAGAGAACGCTCCAGCTTTGGCTCCGACCCGTGATCCCTCCTCCCTGGCTGTCACTCTCAGCATCTTCTAACCGAGCCATGGTACCCCAGCGCCACCAGCCCTCCCCCCAGGTGGGGATAGTTCCCGCGAAACCCAAAGGGAACAGCATTTAAACATACGACCACCCTTCGGGTGATAATCTGACTCAATCGATCGCACTATCGATCTCACTCCACGGGACACCACGGGACAGTTGTCGATCTCAGTATCGATCTCACTATCGATCTCACTCAACGGGACACCACGGGACACCGCGGGACACCTCTCGAATTCACTATCGGTCTCATTGTCGATCTCACTATCCATATCACTCAACGGGACACCACGGGACACCACGGGGCACCACAGCGATCTCAGTATTGATCTCACTATCGATCTCAGTATCGATATCACTGAACGGGACACCACGGGACATTTGTCGATCTCATTATCGATCTCTTTGTCGATCTCACTCAACGGGACACCACGGGACACCTCGGGGCACCACATCGATCTCAGTATCGATCTCACTAACGATCTCAATCAACTGGACACCAGGGGACACCACGGGACACCTGTCGATCTCACTATCGATTTCACTTTTTGGGACACCACGGGACACCTCGGGGCACCACATCGATCTCACTATCGATCTCACTATCGATCTCATTATTTGGGGCACCACGGGACACCACGGGACTTCGCGGGGCACCGCGAGCCACCGCCGGACGGACGGACGGGCGAGTGGGGGAGAATAATTTGTGTTTGATTTTGCCCTAGCAACGGCGGACACCACGGGACACCACGGGACACCACGGGACACCGCGGGACACCGCGGGCCACCACTGGACGGGCGGGAGGGTGAGAATTATCTGTCGTGACTTCGCCCTAGCAACGGCGGGTTCATTCCTCTCGCGCGCCCACGCAGCTTCGCCTCGCCCGCATGCACGACACGAACGAAACGAAATGTTTTCCCGGTTGGGGGTCTCCGTTTTTCTGCGATCTCACCCCCCAACCTCCGACCCATCTGGGGGGGATAAATCGGTCAGTGGGGCCAAGGCCATGCCAGCGGAGATGGGGATCGGTGAAACGATCATTCTACTCTTGGGCTTCCAGACCGCAGGACCTCGTCTTTATCGTCAATGGCGAGCTGGTGGCCCGTTTCAGCGCCGACTGGCCGGACACATTGGACGTCCCCACCGATGACTTGGTCCATGCAGCAGGGCCGCTTGAAAACATTCATCAAGCGGCATACGCGTCCTAACATCCAAGCAGACCCGCCCGAACTCTCCACCCCCTTGGGGAGCCAGATCAGCACGTCCGCCTCTGGTGCGCAATGGGGGAGACCCGTGACCGCGGTGGTGTTGTCGGGCTCCACCCGCCAGGCGCCTCCCAGAAGTACACAGGTCGACCGTCCACAAGTTTCTTTGCAGTGAGCGTGAAGGAGCTGTCTGGCTGTATCGGGGTGGAGCAAAGGACAGTTTCAGCTCCAGGCCTGGGTCGGACCAGTACCTGGTGATGTGCCATTCGCGGCCCCAGCGCCCCAGTTTTCTGACCGAGCCGCCGTGCCGTGGCCGTGGGCCGTTGGCGAAATCCAAATCCTACACTCGCCGGTCAGTGATTCAGGCAACTCGACGGGTGTCGTGTGTGGGGTTCGAAATGCGTCGAGCACGTGACCCCCGCCTCCCAGGCCCTCTTGCACTCTGGTTTTTGCTCTAGAAGCGTTATGCTAAGTGCGGTGGCGAGAGCGAGGATGGGGTGTTATCGGTTGGAGCTGGCTAAGGGCCTGAGGTGTCCCAGCGCTGGTTCTGGCGAGCAGGAAGTGCGGGAAGAGCTTCAAGATTCTGGGTTCGATGCTTCATGTTTTTTGCCTCTTTCGGCCTCCGGGGGCCGTTTCGGGCCGGGGGGGGCGTCAAAAACTCGCCCCCAGGAGAAAGATTGGGTCCATGGCTCTGATCGCGATTTTTCGGGAGACGTTGCAACCATTCCCCAGCGGAGCAGAGCGGATCCACTCTGCCTTGTGCTATGCCAGCCCGCGCGCGGCCGAGGGCGCCCGTGGTCCCGGGGCGGCGCGCCTCTCGAAGCCACAGGCGGAAAGCACTCGCATGTAAGAAGCCCTTCTCGGAGCGCATCCGCCAGGTGTCCTGAGGGTTCCCGGGCCAGTCGTGCAGCCGCTGAGTTCTTCGGGGTTTGTAGGGGCCGCGACGCGTGGGCTGCCCAGGTTGTATTCGGGCAGGCTCGGCCTGGGACCCAGGAGCAGTTTTTGCGTCTCTCCGTCGGCCCAGGTTCTTTGCTGGTGCGGCTGGCAGATGGCGTGGCTTGGTGGTCTGATCTGGCGCAGCGGTAGACGGATGTTGGAAGGGGCGACACGGAGGGCGGACGGAGAGGAGCCATGAGGAGGGGGAAGGGAGGAGGAAAAATCTATGGCTAGGGAGGGAGGGAGGGAGGAGGTAGGAAGGGGGGAGAAGGGACGGGGCGGGCGGGAGCAGGTAGGCAGGTTCGGCCCGCCAGAGGACCTGGCGGGTGTCGTCGCGCACGCGGCATGACACCTCAGGAGCAGCTCCGAAACATGTTCGAAATATTTCTGGGGGGGGGGGCGGGGGGCGAAAATATCGACATAACAACTTCGAAACATCTCCAGGGGGCGAACACATCAACATACCATCTACAACGTCTACGGCATCTCCGGAGGGCAGCATCATCTACATAACATCTACGGAACATCTACGGGGGGTCAAACATATTTACAATTACGAAACAGTTACGACACAGCTACGACGCCCTTCCGCGGAGTCGAAAACGATAGCTACGACGCCCTTCCGCGGAGTCGAAAACGTCTCGTCGACCGAAACCGCGGTCGCGCGAACCCATCTCCACTCACGAAGGAAACCTCGCAGGAAAAATGTTGTAAAGTACGATGCAACGCCTAGGGCCTAGGTGGTTACGCGAGCCGGGCTCTGCTCGCGGGCCGAACCTCGCCCGAAGTCGTTTAAAAACACTTCTGGCACACATCCGAATCCATTCCCGGAGGCGGAGACATCTACGTAACATCGACGACACACCTCCGCGAGGGGCGAGCACATCTGTGTAACATCATCTGCGAAGCATATCCGGGGGGACGAACACATCTAAGAAGCATTTACGGGACATCCCCGGCAGAGATGCACACATCTGCACAACAGCTACGAAGCATATACGAACATTTCCGGGGGGTGAAGACATCTACATAGCATTTACGAAGCAGTTACGAAACATATACGACACATGTCCTGGTGCAACCCACGTTGCATGGGCTCGTCGCCGCGGCTGGATTCGTGAATGGAACGTGGCCAGGGGTCGATGTCGGCGGTCCATGTTCGACAGCGCCGAGGTGGTGGTTGTTTCTTTTTGTGTGCAGGCTGGCGTCGCGGGCATCGCAGCGCTGGCCGCTGCGTCGGACGATTCTACTTGAGGGGCCAAACGCAGCGTTCAAAGAGACACGTATGTCAACATTGATGTCACGCCGGGCAGGTTGCCTTTTCGTGCGCCCAGGCGTTGGGCAGGGCCCCCGTGGGTTGTTCTGGAGGTCGGAGGTGGTCGTCTCGATTATTCTTTGGACGGGCCTCCCCCGGGCCACAGGCCGCGGCCTCTCCATCGGCTTTCTGGATCGTACACATTCGCACGACGAGGGCGGATCGGTGGCCCAGTCTCGCCCGCCCGCGCGTGGGGGGGGGGCACCCTCCGAGGCCCGCGCTTGGATTTGGTTCCCCCGCGGCTCCGAGGCTCCGACAAAGTTGGAGCGGCGAGGTTTTGGCAGTCATCGGCCTCCAGAGGTCCTCAGCAGGCCCCAGGATTGTCAAAAAGCGACGCAGGACGAACAGCTGGCCCTAGAGGGAAGCAGTCCAGACCGCCAAGGGTCCACGCATCGACAAAATTGGAGCGCCAGATGTTTGGGGTTTTTCGGGGGAGGTTTTCGGCACAGCGCGCAGGGAAGCTTTTTTGGCACAGGGCGGGGGGTTATCGGTTGGAGCTGGCTGAGGGCTTGAGGTGTCCCAGCGCTGGTTCTGGCGAGCAGGAAGTGCGAGAAAAGATTCGAGATTCTGGGTTCGATGCTAAATGCGCGTTGCCTCGTTCGGCCTCTGGGAGGCGTTTCGGGCCCAGGGGCCGTCAAACATTGATCCCTGTGGACAACTACCCCAAGAGCGTGCCAGGTGCAGCTTTGAGTGAATTTCTTCGTATTCTCTTTTCTTATACATTTTCTCGGGGCCCATCCATCAAGCAGTGGCGAAGCGTCCTGGCGTGCCTATAGGCCTACCAAATAATGATCTAATCACCTGTTGTGGTTTCCACGACATGTTCTTAGAACATCTCTTGCTGAGACTGTTTTTGTTTAACACATCGGGTTAATGGTATAAGAACATTGTCTTTGCTCTCAGAACATCATACTTGCGTTCTGATAACATTTTATGGTAGTCCTATGCAAATGCTGGGACGGTCGGTCCCTGCTCAAATCCAGTTCAGACGCCCCAGGCCGCCTCACAGTTTTCCTCGGTTCTCTTCCTCGGGATGCCTTTGATAAGCTGCGCCTCGCCGAGGGCGCTAAGGAGGTGCCCGGGTCGGCTCGAGCCGCCGCCGAAAGCCAATTTTAGGGGGGCCCCCCCCCCCCTCCTCCTTCTTCTCCTCTTCCTCCTCCTCCTCCTCCTCCTCCTCCTCCTCCTCCTCCTCCTCCCCCTCCCCCTCCTCCTCCTCCTCCTCCTCCTCCCCTTTCTCCTCCTCCTAGCCGTTCTGGCACAAGTGTTTGTGCTTGATCCTGATAACTTCAGAACGGCACAGTGCAACATCGGGTCAATTTGGCTCTGTCTGTCAGTTCCGTTTTCAGTCTCGTAGGCCTTTCTGGTGAAGAACCATGGTTGGGTCTACAATCCGTGGGTGAAGTTCGGCACGAAATCGTCTAAAAGCGCCCATGGCGATTGGGACAGCTCTCAGTGGTATTCCGTAGGCGCTGGAGGGGCCGTCAAGTGTCAGAATCCTACGTGTGGGTGTAAGCGAAACTCTAAAGGTGCCCTTTTTATCTATGTTTGTGGATGGGTTCCGTCTCTTAAGTCTAACAGTGAGAATTGATCCTCGTCGGAGGGATTGGTCGCGGAGCGGGGAGGTGCACGCGCAGCAGAGCCTCCTGCAGGGGGAGGAGGCAGCCAACCGCCCCTCGTTCCAGGGCCAGTGCCTGCCATCCCCGTCGAGAAGGCTGAGGGATTGGCACGTCTTTGTTCCGAGTGCGGAGACATCGAGAGAGAGCGCCGCTACAAGGCCACTGTTGTTGCAGAGTCTCCGAAGGCCGAGCCTGTTTTCCTGTTCTGTGACAGGTTGCAGCAGGTGTAGGCCCCTGTCAACAAGCTTGAGAAGAGGCTCGAAGTTGAGTGTACGAAGTATCAGAAGTGGATTGACAATGTGGAAGACTCAGCCAAACTCGTGTCGGATCTTCGTGTTGAGCTGCAGTCAGAGCCGGAGTTATTCCAAGCTGCATTGACTGAAGTACGAGAGTCCGAGCCTTGTGCTGCCCCGCAGTCGAAGGTTGAGTTGCGCGCATTGGTCCATGTGTCTACTGATATGTCAGAGTTTTCGGTTCGTCTACATGCTTGGGCAACAGAGACGAGCGCGAAGTCAACGCGGAGGAGTAGAAGGAATTTGCCCAGAGGGAAGGAGAGTTGGCGGATTTGTTCAAACGGAGTGCCAAGGAGTTGTTCGGTGATGCTCTGGACAAAGTCGATGCTATCCGTCGTGGCGCCGCTGACCAAGTTAAACGGTATTCCAAGAAGTGCAAGGATAACGATGGTCATGGAGTTGCTGCCTCTTCGGCCGCTGCAGCGGCGGCTGCTCCCGCGACGAAGCAGGCCGCGGAGAAGCTGAGGAAAGAAATCCCCATGGACAGTGCCAGGGCGCCGCTGGCTCAGGCACAAAAGGATCAGTCCCTGGTCGAGCATCGTGGTGCTCATGCTCGTCTGGAGTTCAGGTCCGATGCAATGCCGCGGGGGGGGGGGGGGGGCAGGGCCCGAAGCGCCCGTGCGGGTGGCCGCGGGCATCGATGCGTCGGAGCGTGTTGTCACTCCCCAGGGGCTCAATGAGTAGTATGGCCGTGGCGGCCCGCTGCCCCCTGCAGACCTGGGCCCCTCGGTTCCACCTCCTATCTCAAGTGCCGCGGTAGCGCCTGAGGTGTAGCAAGAGGTGGCCGGCGCTGAG